GATATATATATATATATATATATATATATATATATATATATATATATATATATATTTTTTTGATATATATATATATATATATATATATATATATATATTCATATATATATATATATATATATATATATATATATATATATATATATATTCATATATTTATGGATTTTTTCTTTTTATATTTTTTTCTGACTTTCCACTCTTCAAATCTCACTCTTTCTTGTATCTTTTTTACTACTTCTTTCTTCTTTTTCTCTCTTTCTTTTTCTCTCTTTCTCTTTTTTTTCTCTCTCTCTCATTCTCTTTCTCTCTCTCTCTCTCATTATTTTTCTCTTTCTTTCTTTCTCTCTTTCTTTATTTTTATCCATTAAGAGTTCAAATAAAAATTTTGAATTAAGACTCAGTGACTGGGATGATGAAGACGACGACGATGATGATTAATTTTTATTTATTCAAAAACATACGAACGTTTCGTGCAAAAAGGTTGAAAATAATTTAAATCTGTTTTTATCTCCATTAACTTCAGGTTTTGAAGATGTTTTTAAACACATGCATTTGTATTTTTATTATTCATTTACAAACGATACATTAATGTAATTTTTACTGAACTAACAATATTGACAAAAGTAATATTAATAACCATTTCAAAAGCTACCACGTAAACTACTCAAAAGACTAATCAAATATATGAGATAAAATGAGATTTGATGAGCATGTATTAATAGATAGAAAAAATTCTGAAATTTCGTAGAATCAGAAGAGATTTGATTACTTTGAACAATATTTTGAATGATAACTAAAATAGTAATTTACATCCTGATCTGAAATTGCGTATAGAATCGATAACTAGAGGTTAGAACGAAATAAGGTTAGAACAAACATGAGTAAGCATGCATTTGTCAACAGAACTATACCCATGTGGAATTCTTTAACACGGGAAGTTGTGGGTGCAGAATCTGCTTGACAAGTTCACTATTGGGTCTGAGATGAGGTACGAATGGCTTGCAAATTATCCAGTTTGATTGATATTCGAGTTGGCATGTGAGTATGAGTGTGGAAGTGCTTGAGACGTATGGGTTTGTGTCTGTGTAGTACTTTTATTATTACTTGAACAATTTATGCTTTCATTTAATCAATTAATTTTGGGAATTTGGGCTTATTGGTTGTACACCTGTGCTCATTACATTTTTTTCTGTTATGTTATGTTATGTGATATAATTAAAACCACGTTCAGCCAGTTAGCTCTGATGGTTGGACCGCCGTGTCGCGCGTTCTCGTTGCTTGTTTACCTGGTTCGAAAGCAGCCATCCCTCACGCACTGATGTAAATCTTGGAGCTTTCGTGGTGAACAATTTTAATTTTCAGCTGAACACGGAACGACATGCAAAGAGCTTTTCTTCTTTTGTCAGCGCTACAGTGTAAAAAGCAATGAAAGAGTTACAATGGAGAAAAACTTTTCGTTAAAGGAAGTTTGAAGTTCATTAATACATGCCGTCCAGTTATAAGGACATTTAACTGGCTGGTTATTTGACGAGTGCCGATCATTTTTATTTTTCCATTTTTTTGTTCAGTTGAAATCTCAATCTGGTCTCCGGAACTTCTAATTCGCAAATAATTTTTTCAAATATTTAGTTTCATATTTTGCATTGTTTTTTTGATTGAAGTATTTGTGGTGTTGCAGTTTAGAGGACAATAATAACCATTGTGGTGCTCGCTGCTCTGCAGGCTATGCTGATTGTATTTCACGTAAGCATTTTGTTCTCATTCATTTCAAGATCTTGTTAAGTTAGTGGCACTTGAAATTTATTTACCACAATTCGTTCGTGCGTTACTCTATAAGTTTGTATCTGTCAGATGTTGCATTGTTTTAATTCATTGGAGAAAAGTTTTTTCATGTAAAACACTATCTATCAATATATCCTGGCTATTTTTACAACTTTGCTGCAACTACTAGTCAACCACGAACGCACATATAAAACCACAAATAAATTCATAAGTATTATACAGACAAACACACACATTAACATGCATACATAACTTTACATACAAACATACAACCACAAACATAAAATGCTCTAGTATATTAATATGACTTAACATAGGAACAATAAGCAAGAAAGGTTTTAGATTTTTACATATTCATTTGTATTGACTGATTTGTGAATATTTCATGCTTCAACCAAAAATCTTTCGTATTGTTTTTCATGTAAGAACATTTGGCCATTTGGTGTAGCACAAACAACAACACACGCGCTCACACAAATATATAGAGAGAAAAAGAGAGAGTTATTGTATCTAATTTAATTTATGACCATAGTAGTTTTTTGAATTATAAATTAATGATTTCAATTTTTAGTTTGTCCTCTGGTCTAAGTTTGAAAATTTTTTATTATTTATATATATATATATATAAATAAATATATATATTCATATACACTATATATATATATATATATATATATATATATATAATATTCAAAACACAACAAAAATTATATTATTATTATTTAGAAATTATTTACGGCTTATAATTTAAATTTAGAAAGTTTTTTAAAAAATATTTCTCTATTGTAGCGGTGCCAGGTGTTATATTTGGTGGTGGCGTCGGCTATTTTTAGCTACCAACGGTGCGCTCCTTACTACAACATTTTGTAATGAAATTTATAAGTAACGTAAATGCTATGAGTAATGGAAATTGTGAAAATTGAAATATTTGCTAGCGTTACTATGGTACAAGAACCACCGTACAAGACATGGGATAGATGCATACTAGTGTTAATTTTAAAAATTATATATATGCTTTGCTTGTGATGCCTGGTTTCCAACGTGTTTGTCGCTGGTCTTCTTGATACATCTGACCCAGGTGCACGAACTTTGACCTTCGACTACAACTATTACTACTACTTCTACTACTATTACATTAAATATATGTTGAAGATATGCTTGCGTGTGTGTGTGTGTTAAA